TGTCCCTGCAGCCCTGGGGCACCCTCGGCTGGGCTGCAGCTGCTCTCACCCTCAATTTTAATTCCATGTGATTTTCTGCTGCCTGTGAATGTGCATGTGTATTTGAGCCCAACATGCTGCGTTGCATGGTCAGGTTTGGTTTGGACTGGGCAAGTGTTGTCTTGGAATTTTACTGGTTTTTAAATAGTACAGGCCTTCTGCTGGGAAGTGAGAGGGTCACACCCTCCGCAGGGCGATGCTGGCAGAGGGGCTGGGGTCCCCCCCACCCCGGGGTCCCTTTCCTGTTGGAAAAGGGACATTTGCAGTACCAAGATCACAGAAATTCCCCTGGTAAGTGCTGCTGAGCTGGGCGTGCTGGGGGTCTCCCCGTCACCCCATGGATGTCGTGGCAGTTGGGAGAGGTCACTGCCTGCAGATTCTTTTCTCTTTTCCATTCACAGAATCCCAGAATCACCTGGATTGGAAAAGACCATTAAGATCATCAAGTCCAATCGTTAACCCCACACTGACAAGTCCTTACATAGTTTCTGCTGCCATCACTTAAAGCTGTTATTTAGAAAGAAAACAGATGATCAATAATCTTGGTGCAATTGCAGGAAAAAAAACAGAAAACCAACAACTGAAATTAAATAGTTTGTTTAAAATTATCTATAAAATATATGAACAAATGCATTCCCATATATGTTTGATGCAGAAATGACTACAGGTCATTGCATTAAGCTATGAGACATTGGTCAGATCAGACAATCAAAAAACCCACCAGAAATTAAAAAAAAAAAAACCCAGCCCTTCCTGGTTTGAATTTTGGAATTCAGGTAATAATCCATTAATTCTCATGTAACTCACAGGTAAGTGGATCCAGGGCTGCTTATCAGTACGATTTCAGCTTCCACCTGTGGAGCAGATGCTCGCTCATGTTTCCATGACTCTTTTGTTCCTTTTCTTGCTCCCTCCTTTCAGACAGAGCTGGAGCCCAAAGCACGACACTGCCCGAGGAAAACCTGCATCTCACAGACCCCTTACAGCGTCTCTTACTGCATCTGTGGCTCCCAGGCACCGCGGGCGTTACTGACCCCATGGGGAAAGCAAACCACCCTCCTCCTATTTTAAATTGGCAAACCAAAGGTTTTCAGCTGTGGGACACCAAGGTGATAGCACAGCCCCGGGCCAGCGTGCCCAGGCTAAGCAGAAGGGTGGGATTCTCCATTATTCCTACACAGCTAATAATAATAATAATAATAATAATAATAATAATAATCCCCTTTTCCTTGTCAAGGTGGAGTACAGTCCCCTACAAGTCATGAACTGATTTAGAAACCTTCATGCATAAAAATCCAAAGGAAGAAAACACAAAACCCAACCCTGATAGATGAACCACTTCTATCATTTTATGATTTCCAACCAACTTTATTCAAAGCAAGGAACAGAGTAGGAAGGGCGAGCCATCCTGTTAGGGGACATGCATGGCTTTGTGGCACAGGGGTTCACCTTTCCTGTACATAAATATCATAAATGGGCTCTAATAACCTTTATAAAAGAGTCTGTCATATGCAACTGGCCTTCAAATGAGCCCTGGTACTGGGAGTAAAACACTCGCTTCTTGAAAAACTGTATAAATCATCTCTAAAACCCAAGCCTAACACAGAGTACAGCCCACCGGCACGTCCACCATGGGGCCAGGAGCAGCCAGACCCGTCCTGCCCCGGGATGTGGGCACCTGCCCTGG